CCTACATCCGCTACCTTCTTAAAAGGTCTGCTCCTGCTCCCGGTAACACATAATACATGACAACTAAACTGAAATACCCAAGCTAGCAAAACGAACTAAAAACAAACATCTTTGGAAAGTTGCTTTGAGCAGGGGTAAAAGAGCCAGTGAGGAGACTCCAGGACCTGATCAACCCCAGATGGGTCACCCGCGTGTTAGGGGGGGTCTGATGTTGAAACTCTGACCAGAAACATCACTGATGAATCTCAGTTTAATTCTTTGCCATGTCTCGATGAATTCGAATAAATCAAGTCATTTTTGATAACAAATGAATGAACATTAAACTGACCAAAGACAAACCTTCCAAGCATTCAAAACACTGGTCAAAGGTGTATGATATTGCGAGACATGAAACGATGACCCCCCATGTTACATCCCTGTTGATGAGTCTATGCGGCGCCAGAACTGATCACCAGCTGAATATTATAATCAGTTTCTGAATTTTAGGCCTTGGTGTCCTCCCAAAAAAAAAAAAAAAAGGTTGATTTTCAAAAGAATATTTTTTAAAATATTTTCTGCTGTCCAGGTTAATATCTCTAAATTCTTAACTTCTTTGAAGGCTAAATCTGGTTACTTTTTTTTTACTTTTGACTATGTGTTTGTGTGTTTGCTAGCACACTGCTGCAGGAATTTTACTTTCTCTATAGGGGAATTTCCAGAAAAGAATCAATAAATTTGGATATAATTTAATATACAGTGAAACCGAGTATTTCGAGATTTGAGCGAATTTTTTTTTCCTGTTATTTCTTATGGGAAAAAAAATGATTTGAGCATATGAGCACCTTACGAGTTACGAGCTCGGTCCTGGATCTCGAGGTTCCACTGTAATCATATCTAATCCAATCCAATCAATATCCAAATATGAGTGTCTGTTCCTTGTAAAGACGTCGTCTTCATCTTCCGAATTGAAGTGAGAACAGGGTTGTTTTGAGTAGAACAACATCCTGCGTCTACTCTACTCTGGAGCACTTGGTTGTCACTTTTACTTCCATAACACCACATTCTGGATGGAGCTGACCCACAACCTTGGAGAAGTTCACAAGACACGTGATTTCTCTCTTTTCCTTTGATGGACAAAAAAATTGCTCATCCACCTGCCACTATTTAGCTTTCTTCTCAAAAGCACCATCAACAACTGGGCCTTTGCCATATCCAACAACAAAAACATCGTGATTACATAAGAGCCGGCGGTGTAGTACCCCTGTTTTGATGATCCGGGGCATTACGTGCACCTTATTTGATGCTAATGGTTATAAACAGAGCCTTCAAAAGAGACACGTGATCCTAAAGAGCATTTTACCCCTGCACATGACACTACCAACATCAAATTGTCTTTTCAGTAATCAAGGGGTGTGACAAGCATTGAAAGCAGAGAAAAGCAGCTTCTTTGTTTTGAACATTAGGTGGCGGTGTACCACCACAGAAGGAGGACTGGAGGCTGTTCTGTGGATTGAATTAGAAGATAGATATTTTTCACGTGTTCAAATGTTTTATAATATAATATGAAGGAAGTTGGCGCATCCCTTGTACTTAATTATGTTTTATTCTAGTTTGTAACGTGTTGCTCACAGATAGCATTAAAGAGTAGATCAAAACACAGTCACCTTAGTGTCAGAGTCCATGTTGTAAATTATACATGCTAACGTGTATGGCAAATACGAGTAGAGGTAAGCACAAAAAAAACATGCTAACAAACATACCAGTTGAACCTCAGACAGCGGGTTTGTCTTTTAATATATGTGAGATAAATAGTATTACTGGGCCAAATAAGCAACTAACACAGGCCACTGACGTGTTCTGACATAGAAAGAATCATTAGATAGTACATATATCGGATATATATCGGACTCTACGTTGGCGTGGAGTCAAACCTGGAAATGCAATGTTGTTTACATTTTCTATTCTTTTTCTATTAATTGTTTTTTTTAACTTTACAGCAGTATTATATTTTCTAATTGTTTTTTTTTTAACTTTACAGCACTATTATAGCAACTCAAGTTTTAGCTTTATAAAAAAAAGTACCATAAAACCACCCCCTATATAAACAACAATTATTTCATTTTTGATATTTTTCTTATTTTTTATAATTATTAAAAAAATATTTTTATAATCCGATTGTTAATAAACAAATAACCTATAGAAAAAAAAAACCCCAAACATACTTATTTGGCCTAGCTAAACCAATATGTAAAATAGGTAAATAAGAATAAAATAAGTGATTATGTTATTCAAATATGGATTTTCCTTTCAATCTCTTAACTGAGATTTTTACGTCTCTCTACGATTATTATTAAAAAAAAAAAAAAAAAAAGGACAAACACTAGTTTATGCAATCACATGTAGGCAAAATGTGGCATTCCCGGTCTTGAATAATTTATACAGGTATTATTATATTACTAGACACAATTTAAACCTGTGCCGGTGCTTGCATACACACACACACACACAAACACAAACACACAGACACACAGTGCTCATTACCTTGGAAACACCAAGAGCTCATTTCCTGTAAAGGAAGACTGCCTAACCCTGAATGACCCCTAGATAGTCCTATTACCTGAAGCCAATGTTTAAGGGAGTGCTTATTGAGCTACCTCAGCTGGAACACTCACCAATGATTGATAGGCTGAAAAGAATGCCGTTTTAATGATAATGTTTCGTTTTTTCACACACACCAATAGCACCAGAAACCGGAATTAAAATCAAGAAATTCGGAAAAATGACGTTTTCAAACCAAAGAGGAGTACATGGGAAAACGTGTATATATTTCGGTAGGAAATTAATGTTGACCTTTTTCGCAATAGTGGCCGGAGGTCAGCAGGTAGCTTGCACAGTTGTGAGCTTGATTCCTGGTCTTAGCGGGTTAGATGCTAACCCTACGGTAAATGGCAAACCGTGCAAAAGTGTTGTGCTTGAAGCGAGTAGCATATCTCATCTGTAAACTAGGGTATCAGAGTGACTGCATGATCTGCAAAAATGAAACAGGAATAATCAAAAGGCTTAGACCGTTAATGGGAATTACAGCAAACAATGTTAACAATTTTAGTTATGTTCTGGCTTGTCTTTCACTATGTTTTGCACTTACAAATCGTTTTTATCTTAATCAACCAGATACGGGCCAACCCCCATATTCCACTTGATGCGCTACGACTGTGTGTTTTGCAGCCATTATAATCAATGAGATTATTCCACTGGCTGCGTCCCGCCTGCTTTCTTGCTGTGGCTAAAGCTGCAGTCCCGCTGTGGCTCAGCTGTGGCACGCCAGGCCGCAGCGGACTGGATAGGAAGCACATCTTTTTTTTTTTATTTTTTTATTTTTTTTTTGACGGAAGCCGCATTCATTTAAACCAATGAGATCGCACCAGATCGCAAATGGACAGACACAAAACTTCAGATGACCTTTGATATAAACACAACGCACAGATCAGAAATCACATTCAACCCGGTATGATATAGACAAAAGGCATTGGATGCAGATACCCTTTTTTGGCATATTTTTAAGGATTCAAGATAAAAGTGGGACTGGATCAAACAAGAGTGGTTTGTGAAGGGTCAGTTGTGAAAACAGAAGTTTTACAAAATAACATTTGGAAAGCAACTGTTTTGATGGCATGGCAGGAGAGTATACTAAAACTGGGATCGCTGATTAAAAAGCTTTACATTTTTAGCCAACTAGCAGAGCTTCAGTTTATGAAGTAAAATGCTTGGCGTACTCAACAAATTGCACGGCAAATGTCTAATATAAAAGTTTCAGTTTCAACCAAGCAATAGTTGTTGAAAATACTAGTTATAAAACAAATTTTAAAAAAAGTTAACCGTTAATACGTAGTTCGCCAAAATGATCAAGATTCTGTGGGTAGCTCAAAGCCAAATCGTGTCAGATAGACTATTGACAACCGTCTGTCAATAGGTGAGCCCTTGAGGGTTAGCTATTTACCCATTGACTGAGTGACTGTTTCTAAATAGACATATTATTGATGACAGAGACCTTTCAATGAAGTGTCAATTGGTGGAACATTTGTCCAAAAAAAAAAAAAAAAGCTTTTTTAAAAAAATTTTACAAAAAGGGAGTCAAAATGGAGATGAATGAAGTCTAAACAAACCCAAAGAAAGACATAGCAGTGCTGCTTTAGAACCTATACTCAGAGATTGGAGGATGTAAGATGTTTTTTTTTTTTTATATCTATAGTCATTTGCATTAAGAACAGAAGCCGCTGCCTCTTGTTCTAGCCCGTAGGAAATACTGGACTATCGGTGAGTGTTTACAGATAGATGCCGACATTGTAACGGCAGTTTGTAAAGATTTCAAACAAGACAAACAAAGAGAACATCCATTAATGCAGAATTATACCAATTACAAACCTGCCTTTCATTCAGCCTCCCCTTCCACTGCCTGCATTAGACGGTGCACACCTTTGGGAGTCAATCATAGCTTTCACAGCCACCGGCAGCAGATGTAAGCAATTTGCTTCTGATTTCTTCATATTCAGTGTGAGATGAGCTCAGGATGACCCACGACCCCAGAGCCTGCAGGATTCTAACCCTATCAAATTAAAGCCCTCTGCTCACATATTCCCCAGCGCTTCTCCACTGCTAAGCAGTCATCCCCCTCCATAGCAACCGAAACTGGGCGTGCTCACTCATACACTGTGCCTCATCAGCTGTTATTAGGGAATATATATAGTGCTCTAATTGGATGAGATTCAGCTAAGGAAGTGCAGTTAAAGGTCATTTTCCACTGTGTTCCTCCTGCTCTTCAGATTTTTTTTTTTTGTTTTTTTGCTGTCTCTATCCCTAAGTTAGTAAAAAGGTGGACAAGACTATCTTATGTCTACATCACACGACTGTATCAAATATGGTCAAAACATTGAAGCTACGCATCAAAGCCACGGACAACAAGTGTCATTTTTTTTTCATCCATTTGTTTTAAAAAATAATTAGGACACATTTGCATAACATTAGCATTGAGATCCGCAGCAAGAAATAACAATTTACCGTCAGCAGAAGAAGAAGAATTATTAAATATTACATCGTTACAATTGGGTATGTGAACATGTGAAACTGTATTTTATCCACATTAGACGTAGAAAATTCCACCATACCAGAAATGGTGTTGTTTGGTTGTTGTTGTTGTTTTTTTTTCCCATATTTAAAGAGTTGCTGCAGCCAAAAAGTTGGACGTTGCACATTTTTTGGTTAAGAGTAAATTCAAAGTATTGTAAAATGGTGGCATCCAAAAAGCAAGAGTCCTACCTATCGTACTTGTAAACCTACTTACGGCCAATTGATTTTGTTTGATTTTGGGAAGCCATGTTAATCATCTTCTGTGGATGCTTCTGTTTTTTGCAAACAAAGTGTCCAAATTTCAACTCTACAATTAAGTACATACTCGCGTATGTTATGTTAAGGGTCAATTTGACCCATTCCAGTTTTTGTGTTGACCAAAGTACAGGTCGCCCTCTGTTTTTCTTCGTGAAATTGTGTGACCTTTCCCTCATCTAAAGACACTTTGATGTGTTGTGGAAAGTATGTGCAGTGAGTTTTTATACAAAGATGATGTTGCGGATCAATTATATACCCGGACACTTTTATGTAGGTCCGTAGCTGTGCAGATCCAAAATAAACATGCCACTTTGATGTACTTTATTTTGACTGCACTACCACTTTGATGTACTTTATTTTGACTGCCTAGTACTACTGTTGCTGTAAATGAACACCTTGTACCATGAAGGGGGGAACTGTCCTTTCAGACAGTACATGTCCAACAAGCCTGGCAAGTATGGCATCGAAATGTGGGTAGCATCCAGGAAGAATCAGGGGATGCAGGTGGTGCTAAAGATGAGTGAAGGGTTGCAAGGTTATAACGGTCACATGGGACAACTTCTTCACATCCATTCACCTTGGAGATGAACTTCAGAAGAGGAAACTGACTATGTTGGGAAGAGTCAGAAGAAATAAGCCAGAACTTCCCGGTAAAGTTCTGAAGATGCAGGTCTGCACCTCTGAATTCCTCAGTATTTGTTTTCACGGAGAAAGCAGTGAACACAATACACACAGATGCATCTTTGAGCACAAGAAGCGGTAGTTTTCAGTCTTATGTTTTTTGCATCGTTTTTTTGGATTATCCTAAATTCAAAATACACTTTAATACACATCCTATAAAATAACAACTTCTTCAACAGAAATAGCACACCTTTTATACCCCCCCCCCATCTATGCTGTCTCTACCGGCTCAACCCTCCCCCATCGCTCTCCTATACAGC